ACCTCCAGATGCAGGAAGAGGGCCACCTGCATCATGAAGGACCCCACCTACCCAGCACACACACTTTTTGCCCCACTCCCCTCAGGAAGGAGGTTGAGGAGCATTAAGTGTAGAACCACTAGACTGAGGAACAGCTTCTACCCTGAGGCTGTTAGACTCATGAATCTCTAACCAGAATAATCACTGTGAAAAACCATATCATGTTGCTGCTGATCTGTTTCATGTTGCTGCTGATCTGTTTCATGTTGCTGCTGATCTGTTTCAATGTTGATGTGTTCATGCGTGCACATCTGCTCACAGACTCATGTTCATGTTTGTGCTGATGTTCAATGTTTTATGTTATGAGTGCTTAGTGTATATTTAGTTGATGTTTTTCTTAGTTCATATCTTAGATGTTATTACTGTTTTTCTTATACATTTTATTGTTGGATGTAACTGGGACCCTGTGTACATAATTTCGCTCCACCACATGTACCACATGAGGTGCGAATGACAATAAAGAAACTCTGACTCTGACTCTGACTAATATTATAATAACTAATATTATAATATTAGTCATTATAATATTAGAGTTATTATAAAATAGTTATAATATAATTATAATAATACAGTTATTATTATATTAGTTATTACAATATTAGAGTTATTATAAAATAGTTATAATAATATAGTTATTATAATAATATAGTTATTATAAAATTAGTTATTATAATATTAGAGTTATTATAAAATAATAATAATTATTATAATAATATAGTTATTATAATATTATAGTAATTATAATATTAGTTATAATATTATAGTTATTATAATATTATAGTAATTATAATATTAGAGTTATTATAATATTGGAGTCATTATAATATTAGAGTTATTATAATATTAGAGTTATTATAATATTAGAGTCATTATAATATTAGAGTTATTATAATATTAGAGTTATTATAATATTATAGTCATTATAATATTAGAGTTATTATAATATTAGAGTTATTAATGGTCGGCGGACACGCGTGTCCACTGACGCGGCAGCTGGGTCCAGTTAAGCTTCAGGTGGGTCGCTGGCAATGAGACATCTGGATTTTTACATTTTTACCTCTTTCAACCGGCTGGCTGCGTGCGTCCACTGACTCAATCAAACTCCCGACACCGACCCGTCCATCCAGCACATTACTCCGGCCTGGCCCGGGTTAGAAATGTCGGCTCTAGTCTGTAGGTCTTAAAGACCTTAAATACTGTGAGGGCCGGTCTAGAGGGTACACCTGAATATAAGCCGCGGGTTTTCACATTGTATCAGGTGTCAGCACACAGGTACTTATCTTAAGGCTCCCACAGGGTCGGGCGTTCTGTGAGCCACACGGACACTATGTGCACTGGCACAGATGAGTAAGACTTCATACTCGAGTGTCCACCCCGAGCAGCTGCAGAGCAGCTCCGCAGACAAGGGGCGTTCACCTTCGGGACAAATTGAGGTCACCGATTGGTCATTTGCTGACACGCCTACTGGATTGATTGACAGGTTGAAAAAAAAAACAGCTGGCAGCCCAGCTGCAACGGTGTTCTGTGTTTATATGTTGTTAATAAAAAGATCTAAAAAATAAAAATCAGGGAGCGCTGGTCCTGCAGCCCACACATCAGACCAGCACATCAGGAAATCTCCAGACCCTCCCGCAGCCACGCTGGACCTGAGTTTAATTATGTCGTAACAAATTCCTTCACTTCTCACAGTTTCAGTCATGGCAACGGAGGAGGAGGAGGAGATCACTGCCTCTAGGAAAAAACAAACAAAAGGCCTTTAAACCAGACCAGGGATGAAGAAGAGGAATTTAATACATTGGTGTCACAAACAAAACAGTACGTCGCCTGACAGTTTATTGTGCGACACCGAGTACGTGTACACGGTCGTAAAAATGTATCTTTGCACGGACATGCACTCTAATCCGGTACGCGCGGACCTCCACGACCTGAGGTACGCCTGAGTACATGAGAGCCTTTAGACTACTAGAGGACAAACTGACCTCATGTCCTTAAATGAATTGTTAAAATTGAATAGTTTTCATTTGATACTATTTCTATCTTAACATGTGATTCTTGACCTGCCATTGTGTATCTGTTCCTACCAAACCCAGCCAGTCCAAGCAGATGGTCCTCTTGTCCTGAGCCTGGTTCTGCTAAAGGTTTCTTCCTCATGAGGGAGTTTTTCTTTTACTCCAGTTTTCAGTCCAGTTGATGGATTTCTGTTTGTCCATGGACTCGGCGTGATCAGAAAATGAGGCAGAAGACCACGGAGAATGTTGTTTTTCTCAAGGAGGCTGACGGCTCGTATGAGGTAAGAGAAATGCACGTTTGTTTTGGTTGTATTTACCCACAATGCCCTGCACTGTATTCCACTTCCTGCTTTTGCAGCGGTCACCGGCTCACACTGCATTTGAACCGCGCCAGAGTTCACTTCAACCGGACCGAGACCCAGGTATGTAGGCGGACCAGAGTTGGCTTGTTTTGGTCCACATCAGTTTGATGGTGCGTTCACACCTCCCCAAACGAACCGGACTTTCTAAACAAACGGACTAGAGTTCGATTAAAGTGGACTAAACAGGGCTGGTGTGAATGCACCTTAAAAGACTCAGTCAAAGAGTGAAACGAGCAGGTTCTGTACCTTGGTCCTCAGCAGGGACTCGTCCTCCTCACACAGGGGACACACAGATGGCTGTATCCCGTCGGAGCTCGGCTCCTCCTGAGGAAACAAGCCGACGCTCCATGACTCGGCCCGTCTTAGGACAGGTGCATGAAACCTAACGCAGCTACTTACCTGCTCGTCCTCACGAAGAGACAAGGACCTGAGACATGAGACAAAAGTCCCATTATTCCACGTCTTGAAAAACAAACCTCCTCCATGTTGGACTCACAGACTGGAGCTCAGGCGCCGTTTCTCCTCCTGTTCGCTCCGAGGTGGCTCGCCGTCTCTTCTTACCGGCACGGACTCTGTCGGAGTCTGTGGGGAAACAAACCATCACGTCCAGTTCCATGTCTGCGGGTTCCGACGGTTCCAGACCGACCTTTGGCTTTGTGTCCAGGAGTCTTCTGTCCCTCCGAGCTGGGCCGGGCCGATGCTCGCGCTCCCTCCTCAGCTCCTGCTCCAGATGAGACCTGAGGAGCAGAACGGCGAAGCAGGAAACGTCCAACAAACTGAGCGTTTTTACCCACAAATGGACAGCTGAACAAATGAGCCGAAACTCTGTTCATCATGCTTTTTGGCTGTTTGTAGCTAAAAATTTTAAAGAAATCCTCAACACTTCAGCTTACTTTCTCCATTTAGCTTACACCTAATCTGATACTTTTAGCTGGCCTTTTGCTACTTTAGTTTTAGCAGTCCTTTTGCTTGTTTCAGCTAGATTTCAGCAACTTAGCTTTTAACTACTCTTTTGCTACTTTTAGCTACCATTCAGCTGCTTTAGCTTCTAGCTAACCTATAAAACTTTTAGCTTTTATTACTTTAGTTTTTAGGTATTGTTTTAATAGTTTTAGGTAGCATTCTGCAACTTCAGCTTTTACATAGCCTTTTCTTATGTTTAGCTTCTAGCTGGCCTTTAGCTACATATTGTTTTTCTTAGCTTGGTGGTTCAGTGGCAGTCGAGTACATCTGGGTTGGGCAGTTCGGCTCCAGTTGTGTCAGAAACTCAAAAGCTTGCCAGACTTTCCTGCATGCTCCTCTCTGTGGTGACCCCTGAAGAAGGGAGCAGCCAAAACAACCTAGCTCAAGGATATTCAACTAAATTGCTCGTGGGGTCAAAGTTACTGAGAGAGAGCTCAGGCGTCGGACATCCAGATGTTATTGTCATTAAGTTTGTTTGTTTTACTATTTAAAATCTAGTTTTATTTAAAAATGAACACATTGGTGGGCCGAACAGAGCTCACCTGTGGGCCTGGTGCGGTCACTGGGTCGCCAGTTTAATAGCCCTGCCCTAGCTAGTCTTTTTACATTTTAGTCTTTTTAGTTTTTGTCCTGTTCAGCTCTGAACTGTCAAAAATAATAACCTCATCCAAACCATCCACATGCCTGCTAGATCCCATCCCAACCAGACTGTTTAAAGAGGTATTCCCATAATTAATGTCCACATTTTGGATCTACTTAATTTGTCTTTAATGGATGGTTATGTACCACAGAGCTTTAAGGTTGCTGTAATTAAACCTTTACTTAAGAAGTCTGATCTTGATTCATAAATTCTGGCCAACTATAGATCTATATCTAATCTAACTTTCATCTAAAAAATTCTAGAGAAACTAGTTGCAGGTCAGTTGCGTGAACATCTACAAAGAAATAATCTGAAGAGTTTCAGTCAGGGTTTAGAGCTCATCATAGCACAGAAACAGCACTAGTAAAAGTCACTAATGATTTTCTCATGGCCTCAGACAATGGACTTGTGTCTCTACTGGTCCTGTTAGACCTCAGTGCTGCATTTGATACAGTTGATCACAATATTTTACTACAGAGGCTTGAATATGATGTTGGGATTACAGGAACAGCTCTAAAATGGTTTAAATCATATCTATCTGATAGATTCCAGTTTGTAAATGTAAATAATGAATCTTCTTCATACACCAAAGTTAGTCATGGAGTTCCTCAGGGCTCAGTGCTTGGACCAATACTCTTTACTTTATATATGCTTCCATTAGGTAAAATTATTAAACAGCATGAGATAAATGTTCATTGTTATGCTGATGACACACAATTATATTTGTCCATTAAACCCAATGAATCCAATCAGCTACTTAGACTACAAGCATGTCTTAAAGACATAAAAACCTGGATGACCCTTAATTTTCTCCTGTTGAACAGACAAGACTGAGGTTTTGGTTTTTGGACCTGAGCACCTTAGGAATGAATGTTTCAGTCTTTCTCCCTCCTTAGATGCATTAATCTGTCCTCCAGCTCTAATGTTAAAAATCTTGGTGTTATTTTTGATCAGGACATGTCTTTTATCCCCCACATTAAAAACGTTACTAGAACCTCCTTCTTCCACCTGCGTAATATCACTAACATTAGAAACATCTGATCTAAATAAAAAAAAAAATAATAAAAAAATAAACTGAACTGAATTTACTTCGGCTTATAGCTAACCTTTTGCTACTTTTAGCTTTAACCGGTGTTTTATTTCCTTTAGGTTTTTGATGGAAGATGTGAAAGGTGTCGCATGTTTTCCACTTATTAATGTCACGTGTATATGAAGCGTGTGTATATGAAGCGTGTGTATATGAAGCGTGTATATGAAGCGTGTGTATATGAAGCGCGTGTATATGAAGCGTGTGTATATGAAGCGCGTGTATATGAAGCGCGTGTATATGAAGCGCGTGTGTATGAAGCGTGTATATGAAGCGTGTATATGAAGCGCGTGTATATGAAGCGTGTGTATATGAAGCGCGTGTATATGAAGCGTGTGTATATGAAGCGCGTGTATATGAAGCGCGTGTATATGAAGCGCGTGTATATGAAGCGCGTGTGTATGAAGCGTGTATATGAAGCGTGTATATGAAGCG